GTGTGTGTGTGCGTGTGTGTGTGTGTGTGCTTAAACTGTACACGGTAAATGGAATTGTTCTTATATAGAGCTTTTCTACTCCACATGAGCACTCAAAGCCCTTTACACTGCATACCTCCTTCACACATTTATACATGCACTTTTTTCAATGCTCGATTACACGAGGACACTGCATGTTCACGCTGTAGCCACTTGTCAAGGCAGACGATAAACATTTTGTAGATATTAACAGAGTTAATAGATTAATCAAGACTTCTATATAACCCCGCTTCTCCTTCTACCACAGCCCAAGGGCAAATTTCTGGTATCGAAGTCTCCAAAGATACATCGTATTTTAGAGTAATGCTCAAATATTCAAAGAAGCGACACAAACAAAATATTTTAGTCACATTTAAAGGAAAATATCGCTAACACATGACTTACTGATTCAGAATGGGAGTGAACACTGTGAGTTGAAGTCTGACTATGTTTGATTGAGTGCAACGTGATCTTTGATTTGGAAATCTTAACTGCGCAGGAGGATCCTTTATTTAACGTCATACTTGGGAACCACTTTTTCTATTAATGTATTATGTACTATGATTCATAGGATAACATAAACCAGATCTGACCTCAATTTTGGGAAATTACTGTGTGACAGCAGCCAAAACGTGTCATTTCATGATTTCATATACATTTTGAGATCATGAAATGCTTCATCGGGTGCTTTTGGAACCCAGTCTCACTGATGGTGCTCAGAGTGTTTTATTTCACTTTTATCGTGACCATGCAGAATTTGTCCTAACTAGCAATAAAAGACTGAGTTTATCAATAATATAACAAGATTTCTTTGTGTGCATTTAGGATCCAGCTGATGAACAGCTGCTGGGACTTTATCCTATAGGGTAGACTGCCACTGCATGCTTTACTGTTAAAGCCCTAAAGGAAGACACTTAGCACAGAGAGTTCAGCGTTTATGACCAAAATCCTTCTTTCATATTTCTATAAACATTACTTTGTTTCAATAACACTGTTTATTTATGAGTAATTAGAAAATAATTTGTGCTATCAGAAAATGATCTAAGAGACGCCAGATTTGTCTTAGCATGAATCCTTTAAAGTCGAACACAGAGACTTCTACAAAACCCCTGTTTTATTATAAACTCTTGCCATTTGCCAAAAAAAGGCGACTGAGAGCTTTGAAAATAAGAGAGAGGGTGTGGCCTTCAGAGCTTAATATACAAAAACGCTCTCCTAAGGGATTTCATATTATCTTGCTGTTGCAGCAAAAAGAAAGTTGTCTGTAAATGTTTGGGAGAATATTAGTATTCCTCTCACTGGACTTCCTCTGGGAACATTTCTGGCTAAAACTAATATGCAACTCCATTAAACCAAATAGTTCAATCATCCAAATCACTCTCTAGATGACAGAACAGACCGTTCTTGGAAAGTTCTCACATTATTACACACACCAAGTCATTTTGGGGCTGAGCCAGCTTCACTCTATCCATTTGCTAAGAAAATAGCTGCTGCAGCATGTGATACCTCTGGTAAGGAGTACTGCTTAAAGATTTCCTACTGTAAAGACAAGGGTCTGGCATTATACACGCCCCTCTTCTCGAACCAGCAGGTTGAATTCAGCTGTGAAAAACTGAGAGCCCTAACATCCATTCACCTCTGTGCAGGCTCTGGCTGTACTTGAACACTGCAGGCCAGTTACATTCCACAGGCCATGTGACTCAGTTTCCACATGCAAAACAAAACCACACAGTTTGATCCTCAAAGGCTGCTTAAGCTCTGATAGACACAAGAAGAAATGATGCACATGTACAGTGTCTAAACATGTCAGTATTTAGATGGTGAGCATGCATCAGCACAGTTGTGAAATTGTGGCAAATACAAGAATCACCATTTCAGACACAAAAGGTGATAATGAATGACGTGCTTCACAACTGTACTGTAGGTGCCATGAAGCCACATGAGAGGTTTACTTAAGTCAAAGATAGCTTATTAAACATAAATCAAAATGCAAACATCAAAGTGGGGCGATGTCACTTGTCTCTCTCTCTCTCCCTCTGCCCACTTTTCTTTCCCATCACGCCCAACCGGATAGAGCAGATGACTGCCCCTCACCGAGTCTGACTCTCCCTGAGGTTTCTTCCTGTTAAAGGGGAGTTTTTCCTTACCACTGTCACCAAATTCTTGCTCATGAGTGGGTGGTGTTGCTGGTGGTGGGAGTGTTGTGCGATTGTTGGGGTTTTCTTTCTTTCTTTCTCTTTATTGTAGGATTTTTACCGTAAAACACAAATCACCTTATGACAACTGTTGTTGTGCATTGGTGCTATATAAATAAAACTGAATCAACTGAAGTGGTTTTCCTACTCATTCTGTTCAAGTCAAATCTTTATTGCAGTCACAGTTTAAATGGTGATCAATTCACAGAATGTAGTCTCCTATTTCTGACCCCTCTTTTCTGCAGTATTCTCTATCGATTTGGTGCTGTTTTTTTCATCAGTGCCTACAAAAAATAAAAATAAAAATGGATTGGATCATGTGGCTCTCTTGTTACTGTCCAACCAGTGAGGTGAAAGTTAAAAAGCTAAAGAATTATTGACTCTGCCTTATACTTAAAACATAGATGTCTTAACATGCTGCTATTTCTCTTTGTTGTGTTTCTCTCATCTGTTGCACCATTGCAGGGTATGAGTACATTAGTCCTACAACATTAGGACTAGTTAACACCCAGATTTTTCCCTTTTTCACGGATGCTCACCTGTGTGTAGAGAACACTGCAGCCACAGACCAGTTTTGTCACATTTAGTGTGGGTCTAGGGCCAAACAGCAGCAAGAGAAATTTGTGGCGGGCTACCTCATTCAGAAAAACTCTTTAATTTAATTTAGAATTTGTTCAATTTAAACTCTGCAACAAACTGGCGATCTGTCCCAAGTGTACCCCACCTTTCACACTAAGAATGCTAGGATAGGCTCCAACCCTACCCCCACGCCAGCAACCATGAATTGGTTAAGAGAGAGAAAATGGATGGGTGGATGTTCAGTGTAAACTTCTTGGTTATTGTGTTATTTCCATGATATATGAAACATTAAACAAATGTTGGACTGGTGCTGCTAATGAGCAGCTGTTTCCAATAATGTCATCCTCGAACGCTGCAAAAAAAGAGAGAGAAAAACTCTTACACAGAAATTAAGTCGCTGACGCTGATTAGAGCTGAGTCACTAAACAACTCTCACGTGTAAATGGTAGCAGAGCAGATTGGGGGGTGACGTATTTGTTACACACACCCATTTTGCGACCTGTTTGTTAAAGTATACTCTCCTTCCTTAGCTGGAAACAGTCTGGTCCAGATGTTTGACCCGACTGTATCATAATCACTGACTGAGTGGGAGACAGGAGCGCGGCGGGAAAAGGAAGCGTGTGTGTACATGTGTCTTAAAGACATATCCCCACATATGTTCACCTCATTATCGTTCAGCTGCAGCTCACTCTGCAGGAATGCAGGGTAGCAAACACATGTCCACCTCCAAACCCCTGGTGACATATTAGCTAAACACACACACATGTACACACACACACACACACACAGACCCTACTTCATGCCACCAGCCCCACTTCCTGAGAGCCCCATCACATCACCCTCCACTCCACATTTGGACTTCGAAAATCAGACTGCTTTCGTGTACTTACACTAGAGGGAAGGGGGGGAAGAAAAAAGAAAGAGCGTGCCTGGATATTTAACTGACACAGAAGAGATGCCATGGAGTCAGCGGAGAGATGCTTCTAATGAAAAGCACATGACTGGATCTGAGTGCAGTCATCTAAACAATGGCGGGGTGGGTGGGAGACAAAGAGGAGATGCAGTTACAGCTGGGCTTTCCCTCACAGAGGTCCAGTGTTTGTTTCTCAAAGACTTCAGATACAGAAACTAAGGCTTGTTGCAAACACGCAAATATGGCATGCAAACACATCATGGTGCCCTGGTGTTTATGTATTTAGTTGTTTAATTTTTCAGACCTACACACTCATCATATAGTTGACAAAAAGAAAATAATAACAAACTGTACAACGGTTCAGACACATAAAAGAGCCGGTGGTCTACCAGAAGGAATTAAGATTAAACCTCTGTGGCTCTGAGCCAAGCTAAGGGGGTGAAAAAAAGAACCACTGTGACCTTCAGAGGGAAAGAAGCCAGGGAACAAACCCAACAGGCAGGCTTGTCCACCAAAGGAGAGCGAGAGGGGGAGAGAGAGGGAAGGGAGGGCTAGGGACCAGAGGAACAGAGGAAGAGCAAGAGGGAGTGAGGGAGCGAGGGATAGGAGAAGAGTGAGAGAGGCAGAGAGAAGAAAAGACACAAAACTTGTGACTTGACAAAAGAGGGCAGGTACCAGAGGCAGGTAAGACCCTTTATTTGTTGTTTCCACTGAAGGGACCTGATGAGTAAAGGTAAGAATGCAGACAGAGTTCTGTGCATGTGTGTGTGTGAGTGTGAAACAGAGAAGCCAGGAGAGGCAGTGAGGGAAGTGTTTGTGGACAGAAGGGGAATCCTGGCACGGGCACAGCTGGGCCATGCTGCCGAGTTTCTATAGAAACAGTTTGCCATACAAAGTGGTACTCTGTCCTCCAGGGAGCTGCCACACGCTGTGACTCTGCTGCTTTTCTGTGCTGCTGCACGCTCACCTTGATTTCATCTTTTTCCATTAGTGAGTGGAGAGAGCTGCAACTGCAGTGCAAGTGAAAATATGCAGACTAGAAGAGCTTTAGCTGCTGTTTTTTTTACAAAAGAAATGCCATATTGCTCACTTTTGGCAATCAGATGGATCCCCGGGGGTTTTAAAGGCGGTGCACAAATACATTTTTGGCTTCTTCTGTGGTGAATTCAGATGGATGCAGTTCCTACATGGGTGTAAACTAACAGTTTAAGAAGCTGAAATGGAACGTTCTGGAAATGGTTTAAAAACAAGCATGCACTGAAAAAAAAAGTGCAATCACATGATGTGCTGACATAAGAAGGTTTGTGAAGTGTGTGAAGAGTTTGAAAAGAAAAACAGCAGCTACTTTGGAGCTGGCTGATGGCGATGTGTACAAAGACGCGGGGATGAAAGTTTCCAGATTTCTGATGTTCGTTCTTCTGCTCTCAGCTATGTTGACATTATATCTACTGTCGTTTGGCTTCTTAATAAATTTCTCATGTTTTATTAGAGCATCAGAGAGCACACTTAGTTGGAGTTTTCGTATTTCTAAATGTATGGAAAACATCTGTACATGTATATATATAATATACACTAGATGTTAGAGAAAATCTTGGCATAACCTTTGTGATTATTGTGCTTAGTCACAGTTACAGGACTCAGATGAGTGAAGTCGACTGGGGATGATGTAACTTTTCATCATGACTTTTTTTAAAAAGTGGTTTTATGAAACACTAGTTTTTTTCTTTCTTTCTTTTTTTGGTAAAGGAATGATGGGCTGTTCTGCCAAAAAAAAAAAAGGTTGGAAAGAGCTCATCATCAGTGATGAAAAGGGCGTTATGAAACTGAAAATTTTTGAGATATAACCTAAAACTCATACTAATTCCTAAGACTTTCTACTTTTCCTTTAACCAAATAATTCTAAACTTTAAATATATATATAAAGCAAACTGTTTAATAGCTGCACCTGAAAAATATCAGCAGTAAAGTAAGATTGTGTTATTTTTTAGTAATGTTTAACTTTTATCTCACCAGTACTTGGATATATCTTTTTAACCTTGCAAACAGCTGTTGAGAACGTAATACCACCACTTAGTAGGTCCACATGGTTTTCATCAAGTCCAGTAAGACAAAAGTCTCTGATGTTTAAAATATGCAGATCCAGTTCAAAGTCACAGTAGATTTTGTTTGTTTTAAAGCTTTGCAACAGAGTGTTTGTGTCATGTACTAGCAGTGATCTCTGTCCTACCATCCTAAGTATAGTTCTCATGCTGATAACGATCAGATTAACTCATTGAGGTCATAAATAACAAACTGGTGAATCAGCCATTGTGGATATTGAGTCTTTAATTGTTTGCCAAACTTCTGGTCATAACAGCAGAACGACAGGAAGGAAATCTGGCTCTGGATTTAAACGAGGGGTTGCAAGGCTCTGAGAGGGAAAATGAAGGGCAGTGCCAGGGAATGCTGTCAGAGAAATGTTCAGATTTGTTATTTCAAGCATTTTAGATATGAGGCTCATTCCTGCGCCATGATTTATATCAAACTGATCAAAGGCAAAGAGAAAGAGCACTGGAAACAAATGGTGCCTCTGTGATGAGAGTTTGTGTTTTTCTAAATCTTTGTGATACTTATTTGCAGGGCTTTGCTCATGATATAGAGGATAACGATTTAGCCATAGTTACCATGGCCTGAAAAAGATCGTTTCACTTTGAAAAGTGAATTAGATTCACTGAAGGGTAAATACCTGGAATGATAAGCCAAACAACAGCGTGTATGTGTGTGTTTCAGTCTCAGTGTGACGTAATTTCATTGTCCACGTACAGAAAAAGTATCCCTCTCCCTCCTGATTTATTAATGTTTTTGCATATTTGTCACGTTTTCATGTTTCAGATCATCAAACAGATTTTAATACCAAAATACAGTTTTTAAATGATGGCTTCTCTCAATAAGAGAAAAAGTTATCCACACCTACCTGGCCCTCTGCGAAAAAGTAATTGCCCCCCAAATTTTAATAACTGGCTGTGCCTCCCTTGGCAGCAAGAACTGCAGTCAAACATAACTGATGGCAGGGATGGGAACTGAGAAGAATTAACTGATTCCATTATTAGTATTACTTATCGATTCTCACTGGGATCTCACTGGCTTTGTTTTGAGAGTCACCACCATCTCTAACCATCATGTCGATATTACATTCATGCAAATGAATTGCTTTGTGCTTTGTCAAATGTTTGTGCATGTTGTGGAGTTATTTCTCCCCCTTGTTGTGTTCAGTGGTGGGTCATTACTCAAAAAAGTAAATATTACAAATATTACACAGAACACTTTCATTAAAGGTGATGCAGTACATTACTTAGTTACTTACTCGTTACTTTTTTTTTCATAAAATGAGCTGAAAAGCTTTGCCTCATAATTAACATTTAACAAGATACACCTTCAGGCTACAGTCCTACACACCAATGCAAATCTTGATCCTAATGAGGACAGACATATGAACACAAACACAATGCTGACAACACAACACAAGCAAAAAGAGACTTTAAAGTGATTGCCACAATGATTCTACTGTAGAAACATGAACAGGTAAAAACTGCTCATCAGTTTTTTTTACCTGTTGAAGTTAAGGGTCTGACTCCTGGGCTTGGGCATATACTCATAACATCTCTCTGTGTTTTTGGCTAGCTTAGTATTAGCATGCTGTCTGTACAGGTGCTTGCAAAAACCTGAAGCTGTGTTAGCAGCATAATGCAGCTGTTTCTGTCTACTGTAACATCGTGCTCTCGTCCTATTATGCAATGAATTGAAAGTAAAGTCCATATCCACGCTGCAGACTGTGCCACTGTTTTCCTCCTCCTGCATGTGAACTTAGATCAGCTGATAATCAGCTGATTGTTGTTTGAGTGCTACAACTGATAACAGTGATCCACAGGCAAGCAAACCAACAATTCCAAGAAACTGAACTACTGGGAACTAGTTCTCTGCAAGAACTGTTTCTCGATTCCCTTCCCTAACTGACAATGATGTTCTTACGTTACTGTGGAGTAATTTTAGCACACTCTTCTTTTCAGAATTGTTCCAGACACATTCAAGGGTCTAAATCTTCATTTTTTTTGTACTTTTCTGAGCCATTCAGAGGTGGATCTTGTGGTGTGTTTTGGACTATTGTGCTGCTTAATAACCCGAGTGAGGTTAAGCTTCAGGGTACAAACGGATAGCTGGACCTTCTTCGGGACTTTCTGGTAGAGAGCAGGAATCATGGTTCCATCAATTACGGCAAGTCGTCCAGCAGCAAAGCAGTCCCAGACTATCACACCACCATATTTGACTGGTGGTATGATGTACTTTTGGCTATGTTAGTTTTACACCAGATGCAACGAGTCTTGTTAGTCCACAGAATATTTTCCCAGGCCAGGTAGGTTTGGCTATTTTTTGTTTTCCCTTAATAGATGCAATCATCATTTAAAAACTGCATTTTGCATTTACTCTGGTTATTTGAGTCTAATGTTGAAATGTGTTTTATAATCTGAAACATGCAAGTGTGACAAATGGGGCGTGGGGGTAAATACTTTTTCACAGCACTGTAGCTAAACCGATTTGCTCACAGTTGTTATATATTCTTAAACCCCGTCAGTTACAGAACATGTAAAAATCACCTCCCCTGTCCTCTCATTGTGAAATGCAAGCTCATAGGTGTGCCTAAGATGACTCCTTGTATGATCAATGTGATGAACTATACAAAATGGAAATTCCTTTTTCAAAGCAACTTTGGAAAATTCCTCATGCACACACAAAACAAATCCTCCTGGTGTGAAATTTTAAACACACACTGATTATAAAATGCTGTAAATACATATTGAGTTCATGAGAGCTTCATTCCAGCGCGCCTCCCTTTTGTTGACATATTTTAACCTTGCAGGCTTGCTTTCTCTACACACCTCCCCCCTCTCGACCCATGCTTACAATAGTGCCTTTATCCTTTCATAAGCGCTCATTTCCTGTATTAGTATCTGCCCTACATTCTCTTGAATTTAATCAAATTAAGGATGTATGGCTCCTCCTCAGACGATCCCACCTCTTCAAACACAGATTACGTTACCGAGCTACACATGTCCATCTTACATTAGTTTAAACTGCAATAGAAGTGTGGAAGCAATACTTAAGGTAGGCTGGGGACAATCTTGGTATATAACATTAAACCTTAATGTTTTTATAGAGTCAGGTGAGCATTGCTTCATGTAGGCCTTGGTAATGCTGTTTCACTCAGTTCAACCCTGAAAACTACCTCTTAAAATTGGTCAAACAGTAACCAGCTTTAAAGTGGAATCTTTCCAAAGTGAAATACAAACTAACGGATATTTTTAGTAAAATCAGAGATAAGATGAATGCCCTGGATTGCACGTAGCCTTGTAGGAAAAAAGGAGGGTTTGTACACGGCTGAGTCATTACACCCACATGGAGAAAGAAGCACCAAAAGGACATATTCTAAGGAGCTTGGAAAGAAAAGCATCTGAACTTCTTTAAGTTGCTTGAGGACGTTTCACCTCTCATCCGAGAAGCTTCTTCAGTTCTAAGGTCAAATGGTGGAGAGTCCCAGATTTAAACCTAGTGGGAGTTTTCCCCCAAAGAGGGACAAAAGGGCCCCTGATAATCCTCTACCTAATCACATGAGCCAAGGTGTGAAAATGGGTGTGGGTCCCAATCAGCCAGGGTTTCGGGTGAGCTCATTGTGAAACCTGGCCCCACCCTATCATGCGATTTCCTGAGGTCAGATGGCCCAGGATGTGAGTGGGCGTTAAGGCGTCTGGGGAGGGAACTCAAAACTGGATTATAGATGGCAGACAGTTGGTGTCGTAAACCACCGCCTCTGTTCAAAGATGGTCGCTCACAGTGGACATAGATGGCTTCTTTCACTCCTCTTTCAAACCATCTGTCCTCTCTGTCCAAGATGTTAACATTGGCATCCTTGAAAGACTGTGTATGCTTGGAGAAAGCATGACATCCCAGCTCACAATGAGCTCACCTGAAACCCTGGCTGATTGTGACCCACACCCGTTTTCACACCTTGGCTCATGTGATTAGGTAGAGGATCATCAGGGGGCCCTTCTGTCCCTCTTTGGGGGAAACTCCCACTAGGTTTAAATCTGGGACTCTCCGCCATTTGACCTTAGAACTGAAGAAGCTTCTCGGATGAGAGGTGAAATGTCTTCAAGCAACTTAAAGAAGTCCAGACACTTTTCTTTCCAAGCTCCTTAGACTACAATGACCTGGATGACTGAGAACCTTCACAGACACAAAAGGACATATTGTACTGAATTAAACTATTTAGTTTTTCTTTTTGTTTTTTTGAAGCATCTTTCTTCCTTAACTTAATGCCTTTCACTTTGATTACTGCAGAGTCAGTAGAAATCACTACTTACACTTTATGCTTTTCCTAGGACAATGAAGGCTGGTGCAAGACTCCTGTCTGCACTGACTCTGCTTCTCCTACTGGGGGCAGTGTTCACACAGAGGCCTCGGCCAAAGAAGCCCACCAGGCGCCCAGCTACCCCCAGAAAGCCTCCTGCTCGTCTCCCAACTGTACCACCCCAGCCTGAGCCCAAGGAACCAACAGATTTCCCCCCACCCATCCTGGGCCCACCTTCCATCTTTCCTGACTGCCCCCGGGAGTGTTTTTGCGCCCCAAGCTACCCGAATGCGCTCAACTGCGAGAACCGGAACATTCGTGTAATCCCAGCAATCCCATCCAGGACTCATTACCTGTATCTCCAGAACAATTACATCTCTGAGATAACCTCGGAGCCCTTCCTCAACGCCTCTGAGGTCCGCTGGATCAATCTAGCAAACAACCGTATTCATCAGATAGATAAGCAGGTCAGGGAGTTCACCTCTATAAATGCTCAGGATTTAAAGAAATAGAATCACTTTACTACGGTTGCTTTGCATCTATCTCTCACGCAGGTGTTTGAAAAGCTTCCAGCACTTCTGTATCTCTACGCCCAACGAAACCAGCTTAATGAAGTCCCTTCAGGCCTCCCAGAAACTCTGGAACAGCTCCGCCTTAGTAGGAATCGTATTTCCAAGATCCCACCTGGGGCCTTCAACAACATGGGGAGCCTGACTATGCTCGATCTGTATCACAACCAGGTGAACCTCACTGTTACAACACTGTGCTATCTAGACATGTATGGAGAACTAAATCTCTAGCGTTTGTGGAGCAAATATGTGATGTCTTTTCTGTCAGCTGAGTGACAGTGGCCTGGGTAAGAACAGCTTTAAGGGCCTTACGAACCTGGTGCAGCTCAACCTGGCTCATAACACGCTGAAGAAGATGCCTACTAGTATACCAACCAGCCTCGTGCAGCTTTTCTTGGATAGGAACCGTATCGATGACATCCCAAAGCAAGTATACGGTGCACACATTGTCCCAAAGTTGATTATTCCCACTAAGAATCTTTATTATTGTCTTTTTTCAGAAACTACTTTGACAACCATGCTCACCTGGCTTTTGTGAGGCTGAACTACAACCAGCTGAGTGATAAAGGAGTTCCCAAGAATGTGTTCAATGTCTCCAGCCTGCTAGACTTGCAACTGTCCCACAACCAGCTCGCTTCGATTCCTTTGTTCAACGGTCACCTGGAGCACCTGCATCTCGACCACAACAGCATTGAGAGTAAGTAACCAGCAGCCACGTCTGTCCCAGTGAGTGGACATCACTGTGCTAAAGCAAGGCCTCCACATCAGGGAGCATAACCACAGTTTGTCTCAACGTGGGCTGAATGTCAGGGCTCTTCATGTAACTTCCAGCAACTTGCAGCTGTGTCAGGTCACCTTAGCTTCTCAGTTCAATGTGGTCTTAGTGTTGTCCATGTCTCCCTGTTTCTGTTTGGATCTGGTGGTGTAGCAACTAAACAAATAATATGTCGTAGATTCAACCCCTCCCCTTTTTTAACCTATGCATTAACCGCTGTAAATTATCTTGGTTAATTATACCCAATTGTCTTGTGTCCTATGCCGAGTTTAATGAAGACAGATCAGTGTAGTCTGTTGACACTACAGCTGTAATTTGATCAGCGTGCAACACAAACCGAAAGCATTTTTTCAGGGTATTCTGTTATACCTGTTTCTGCGTCATGACTACAAAACTACTTTGGCTTCAGGCCATTTTTTTTTCAACTTCCACTGAAGTTAATTATCATGACGAGATGTGTCCTCCTGTTCAATTGTATTTGGAATTATTTTAAAAAATATGTTTCTTAGTTATTTTGATGCAATAATTTAAGGGCTTACACAATGCAATCTTCTTCCAGACCGTTAATTCAATTCAATTCAATTCAATTTTATTTATATAGCGCCAAATCACAACAAAAGTCACCTCAAGGCGCTTCATAGATACAGAGAAAAACCCAACAATCATATGATCCCCTATGAGCAAGCACTTTGGCGACAGTGGGAAGGAAAAACTCCCTTTAACATGAAGAAACCTCCGGCAGAACCAGGCTCAGGGAGGGGCGGCCATCTGCTGCGACCGGTTGGGGTGAGAGAAGGATGCTGCTGGGTTTTGTTTTGTTTTGTGGGTTATAACTACATATAACTACACAGTTAGAAATGCATTAATATTAGTGGACTCTGTAACACAACAGCACATTTTCAACTTGAAACGCTTATATGTCTGAGTATGTGTCGCATTACAGAGAAAAATCAGATGTGATGCGATTTAAAATACTTACCTACTTGTGTTTTGCAATAAAGTATAATCAATTTTACAGTTGAGCTCTGTTTAAAGGTGTGTTTGTTTTTTTCTCAAATATACCCACTTCAGTATCATTTAAACACACTCATATTTCTGTCTTTTTTGTATCCTTTTTTTTATATTCCTAAAAACATTTCTCATGCTATTTTCTAAGTTAAAACATCATAAAAAAATAAAGATTTCTTCTGAAAATGTATGCTAAGCACTGCATGTTTAAATAAAAAAATTCACATTATGCATAATATTTAAGATAATTATCTTCTCAGACTATTATCAGGCTATACCCTGCTCTTCCTGTATGTAAATTGCTATAATGAAATAAATTATACAATAAAAAAAACAAAACTGTCAAATCTAAAATAGCATATTTTCTTATTTATATGCACATGTGAGCACTTGAAGACTAGATCTTCATGACTGTGTATTTTCCTGACAGACATCAATGGCACCCAGATCTGCCCATACAGCGTGCAAGCTGACCCGAGTGATATGAGCCAGGTTCCCAAGCTAAGGTATTTCACATTATGTCATAATGCGTGTCTCAGCACTAACCTAAATAATGAACTTGTCTGAGCTGCGTGACCTGTGTGTTAACAGGAAGTAAACAAGAACAAAAGAATTTTGCCTGGAAATGCCAAGTTCAAAGAGTTACAATCCCAATGACATATTAGATACCTGCTCTGTTGTTTTCAGGTATCTCCGTTTGGATGGAAATCACCTGAACCCTCCCATCCCTCTGGATGTCATCATGTGCTTCAGGCTCCTTCACTCTATTGTCATTTAGGAAAACCATGCCTAAAGGCATGGGGGCTTGCACATGCAGTACTGTGCAAAAGTCTTGAGCTACGCAGCATTTCTTTATATTTTGCTAGGAAAGTGTGAAAAATGTGCTTTCTTCTCATTTCTTTAAGTGGTCTCCAGAAATTGTTGTCCGGGCTTCTTAAAAGACATTCAAAGCTCTTCCTTGAATGTTGGCTGCCTTTTGTTCTCTTCCCTATCAAGAGGATCCCACACTGCTTCAGCAATTTTGAGGTCTGGGATCTGGAGAGGCCAATCCAAGACTGACAGTGTTTAATTGGGTGTTTTTCTGTCCTGGTATCTTTTACTGCTCTGGCAGTGTGTTTGGGATCGTTGTCATACTGAAAGTTGAAGCTTCTTCTAATCAGATACTTTGCAGAAGGTACCACGTGGTGGATCAAAATCTGACCGTACATTTCTGTAGTATTGATGTCAATTGACTTGACAAGATCCCCAACACCACTCGCTGAAATGTAGCCACAAGCCATGACAGGGCCTCGGCCATGTTTGGCTGCAGTCACAAACTGTGTTACATCTTTCTTATTGACTATAATTTGAACTAAAAAATTCAAATTTTTGTTTCAAAGAAGACCCGTTGGGACTGATATTTGGTCCAATTCTTGTGTAATTTGACATACCTTAACATTTTCTCCATTTTACTTCTTAACAGCCACTCTTCCATTTCTTATGAGGCTTCAGTGAACAGTAAACGAACTGAAGGGTCAGATGCATCTCTCAGGTCATGTTTCAGATCTTTGCTGGATTATTTGAACTATTTCTTTTGAATATAACTTTCAGAAAAACTTTTAAAAGATTTTAAGATCTTGGAGAATTGTTGCTCACTGCTATAAAGAATTAAAAGAAAGTCTGGCTCCAAAACAACAAGAAATGAGGGGTGGCTCAAGACTTTTGCACAGTACTACTGACACACACACACACACACACACACACACACACACACACACACACACACACACACACACACACACACACACACACACACATCCATGAAAACATAGACTCACTTTGTACTAGGTGCATTTCATTGCAAAGTATGGTGTTTATCAGCAGTAGACGCTGTGGAACTGTAATACTGAGAGAGGGACTGCAAATAACTGCAAAACTTGGATGGTTCAAACTTTTTTAATTGTGATGACAAATTTAACTATTGCCATTTTTTGGACAGTCCCAACATTAAACTACAAATCAGCATAAACTGTGGCTATGCTGACATTTAGAGTTAGGTTTCTGCAGTAGTTGCAGTTTATCAGTGTTTTTTGTTTACAAAACTTCATGTAAAGAAAAAAGTGAAAAATATAGCTTGAGCAAAGCCTGAAAACACAGGGACATTTACAGACATGCTACAGACATAAACGGTAGTTAAGTTCACAAGAATAGGTCAACAGAGTGGGGCAGCCGTCAGAGGCAATGAATAAATATGCAGTGTAAGTTAAAAGAGATAACCAGCTTTAAATAACTAGCTCCATGTAGTTAAAACAGTTTCAAATGTGCCTGTGATTTTCAAGATACTCTTTGTAAAAATGTCATTTTATTCTTGTTATCCCTAATCTTTTGTATAATATTCTTCTGTATAAAGAAGCTTTGTACAAACAATGGAAAATAAAAGTTCTCCTTGATCATCTGAAAATGCTTGATGTTTGAAATAAAAAATGTAGTTTTCTTCCTCATTTCTCTTTTCTAATATGCCTCACTGCTCTCTCTGCTTAGTCGACACCAACCCGACCTGTTTCACAATAATATGAGCCTTTGGATAAAAGCAACATGTTAGTAACTGAGCAGGTATAAAAGGAACATTCCAAAGAAGCTAGAGGTAAGGGCGTTGCCTGTCTGTGAAAGTGTGCAAGAACCGTAAAAGACGGATGTAGCACCATAATGTCAAGGTCGGCATTTTGGCTGACGCCATGTTGGTTGTTTGGAGACTGAAGTTAATATATTTGAAATATAGGTGAAGCTTGGTTTGGCAAATTAGTGCTAAGTAAAAAACTAATAATTGACTCACCAAAACTGAAGCACAAAATTCTGTGTTGGTCTGCACCACAGAGGAATACAAGTTACTCATTTAAGACCATTAAAGGATCCAGAAGCACCAACATGGGAGAGGTCTATACCAGTGACTTGAATTAGCAGAGGTGAGGTCTAGTAGATGCTAAAGGGCCACAGCTACTTGTGCTGGGACACCTGTCAACCCACCCAAAGTCTTGACTCAATAACCCAGGTGGATATTTATATACATTTCTTTTTCCACCAGGTCTTAAAAATGCCTTTTTTTAATGCTTTAAAGTTTGGCTTTTTATCATCACGACTTCCTCTCGCAGCTAACTTCAAGTGGCAGGAACCAAAGGTTTGTGCACTTCCTCGCTGGCTTCATTTTAAACTCATATCTACATGGCTATTTGAGAATAACAATTTCTAAATGTAAAATTTCAGATAATCTGAAGATTTGTTTCTCAGGGTGACATAATAAAAAGAGACAAGAACCTAGTTGTGTAAATCACTGAATGGCCTCACCGTTACTGAACACAGTTTGACGCTTGAGTCACAAATACAAGTCAAAGCTGCAACATTCAAAGAAAAAGATCCAGAAATGGTGCCACGTCCTGTGAGCCTGAGCTCATCGAAAAGACAGCATTTATGATGTAGTACATTAGTACACAAGCTCACGCTAATGCTGAACAGTATACACAGGTACTGAAGTAACATATGCTAGCATTCAGAAAACATTTTTTCATGAGAGGCCCTTGTTTATTTAGCAAGGCAGCAGTTAACCACATGCTAAACGAGTTAGGACAACATGACTTTTGAAAAAAAGAAGTTTGCGTGCTGAACTAGCCTGAAGGGCCTGGCTCTGGAAACATTTGGTAAAATGAAAAATATGACAACCAAACTTTTCAGAAAGAAATGAAACATCATCACAATAGCATTAGCAAACTGCTTTGGTTCATGCTTCATTAAAAAAAAAAAATCATTCCATTTAGTTTCACTTCACTGTTTTGTTGCCTGATCTTCTGAGGCCCCGGGAGTACCTTTGTGTCCTACCAGTGGGGGCCTTCCCCGCAGTTTGAGAACCACTTTCCATGTTGACCCTGTGGTCTGGGTGGTGTTTTTGTGGGTGCTCTGATTTCCACCCCCAGTCCAAAGACATGCGTGTTTGTTTAAATCGCAAATGAATTAAAGGGTTTTTCATTTTGTGTTTACTGACTGTGACAGTTTAACATGTAAGAAAGCAGAAGTGACTAAAGGCTGCAAAATTGCACAACACTGCGCGAACAGAAGTAACTATGTGCATGTAAGAATGACCGGATTAAGCCAAACTTTCATTAGATACATCATAAGATACCTTAGCAAGAAAATATTTAATATCCACTTTGTTTCTAAAATGCTTGATGATTTTACCTTTTAAGATGTCTAAAAACGATTTCAATGAAACATGCTGACATTTCAGCTTTTTTCAATGAATAACTGTTCAAAAAAGGTTGAGAGAAACTGACAGTGGCTACGATGGCAATTTTGTCAATTTTTTGTGTTTCCGGTTTCAGTGTAAAAAAAAGTCACTTTGTTCAAGAGGCTCTGTATTAAAGAGGTAGTACTGCAGGACTGCAACTCTGGTGGAATTGAGAATACAATAGAGAAGCATGCGAGGCTTTTTAACTGGCTCTAATTGACTTCATTTACAGGTTATTCCTAGTTCCATTGGGTTTTCTTGCTTCCTACCGCTGCAAATGACGTTTTAGAAGACTTCAAAAGCACCCTGGTAAAACAGGCTGGCGAGCAGGTCTGGTAGGTATTTCCAATCAGGACCTGTTGACTGAAGTGATGTCAGAATGCCCTTCGAGTAAAAAGACAAAAGTCAGTGAGAGGCTTTATTTCCAGTATACACCCAGAGTGTTATGCAACATTTGGAAGTAGCTATACCAATCAATCTGAAATCTAAAAGAGACAAGAAATAAAATGATATTGCCACAAAACACTTCCTTTTACAAATTAATCACATTAAAACAACACAGACTTTAAAAACTCCTAAGGCAAATGATTCAGGGAGTGACGTCTTAATGCGGAAGCTGCAGCAGCTTCAGTTTAAATGATGAAACTCTAATCTAGCAACAATGATTACTCATTCATTATTTACATTACGCATCGCTGAGAGTGAAAGTTTTTCTTCACAAAGACAGCACTACTCATCAAAGAGGAGGAAATCAGCAATAATTCTTTTTTCCATTCTTCCAATCAGAGACTGAAACATGACCGGGAGTTCCTTTAATTGCACCAGACTTCCTCCTCCTGTAAACCCATTCACATGCATGCACCTGTGGAGTCCCATGCATGTTTAACCTGTTCAATACCTGGTGAAAAGAAAAATCCCCTTACTCCACACTATAAGAGGACACAGGATGGAGGCCCAGAGACACAGCTTCACCAGAACTCTCCCTCTGAGTGACACACGCACAGGTGAGTCTGAATACAGGTGATACTTCTCCAGGCAATGATGATGGCAGCTGATGGACTTGACATAGTGTTTCCTTTATTCTGGATATTGGTAGTTTATAAACAATTTTTTTTAAATGATCCAATATCCATTTATGTATCTATAAATGCTCATAAAGTATTTTTTAATTTGTGGATTTGAAGTTTTTTATCTGTTTTGATGATCTGAGGAAACAGTGATGAACCTTTTTCCTAAATTAATCAACAATCAACAATTTTACACAATACACAATTCTTACAAACCGAAACGCTTCTGTTAGCTTTCTCACCAGATCGCCATCATCAGGATGAAGATGCTTATCGGCTGCTCTGCTTCCTTCCTCCTCCTCCTGCTGCTCAGCTGTCTGACTGAACCTGCTGAGAGCCGAACTCTGCATCTGGACAGCTGCTCTGTCAGTGTTCACACACACGAGCTGCGCAAATACTACGCACACATACGATCAAATGCGGTGAGTTCAGCGAGCAGTCATGCAATCAAAACCTCTGGCAAGAACTTGCACAAGTGTAACGTCAGATTAAAGTGGCAGAAAGTTGTAACTGATCCTTTCTTTTTCTTTTTCTTTTGTGATAGATTTCAGAAGACAACGAGATCGGAATGAAACTTCTGGATAGATCACTGATGAAAAATGTTCAGGTGAGCTCTTGCGTTATGTTGCCACTCAGTCATGATGATTTGCCTTTTAGATTTACTTTTGCTTCCCTTTTTTTGACAAGTGTCTTCCACATATTAAGTCTCTATCACCAGAATATGGATTCTGAAGATAGGTTGTGAAAGGTGCTAGAATCTGACTTTCGCCATGTCCCCCTCAGGACGGTCAGACATGCTGTTTCCTGCGTCTTGTGTTGCGTTTCTATGTTGAGAGAGTGTTCAGCAACTATGCCTCATCCGAGCCACAACAACAACGCTGCTCCAGCGCTCTGGCCAATGCTTTCGTGAGCATCAGAAGAGACATCCATAAATGTGTAAGTTTGCTCTCCAGTCTCAAAATGTGCTTCTTCTTCTTCTTTTAATGAAAAGCTGTCATAGATTGTAATGATAATTGTGCTTTTCTGTGTATAGCATTGCCAATGTGGAGAAGAAACCCAGAGAACAATTGATTCAGTGCATGCTGAGTTTATCAAGGTAAGACACACAATAAAATCTAAAATGACTTCCTGTCTTAGACGCTCAATAATAAGCCCCAACATCAGTTGTTGTAATTTTCCTAATATGAACTAGTTAGTTAGGGAAAAGCTGTGAGCTGTGAAACTTTGTTGTATGTCAATAATATCTTTATTAATGTTACTTTTTGTCTTGGATTTCAAGAAGAAACAAACACAAATGGGTTACTATACAGAAACACAGCACACAGAGAAAATACCTAAATCTATAACTCACTTCAAATAAAACAGCCAAAAACTGCAATGATTTCTAAATCTTGTAAACTAAATTTTATTCACAATAGATTCTCTGAGTCTTTTGATGATATTATATTCTTGCTGTCCTGCAGATGACGAGATAATCAAAGCAGTTTTACTTTATTCTGAAATTATTCAACAATTAGCCGATGTTTTTGCAGATAGTTGAATCTTTGTCCATCTTTAGCTATGAGAAACTCTGCCACCCTAAGAGGCCCGTTTTATACCCAGTCATGCTACTGAAATGCTGCCAATTAATAATGCCATTTAATTAGTTGCAAAATGTTCCTCTATTGACTTTCTCAGCCTTTTGTTGCCCCTGTCTCGACTTTTTCGACGTGTGTTGTTACCTTCAGATTCAAAATCAGTTCATTTTTTTCTCAGCTTAAACCTTTGATATTATTTCTGTGTTCTATTGTGAATAAAATCTGAGTTTATATGATTTATATGACACCCGTGTGTGAATGTGTGTGTGAATGTGTGTGTGAATGGGTGGATGACTGGATATGTAAAGCGCTTTGGGGTCCTTAGGGAAGCGCTATATAAATACAGGCCATTTACCATTTACCATAAGAGTATCACCTGCTTGAAAGACACACATGTTGGTTTCAGATCTATTTTCTTATCTAACTCTTCCACTTTTCCCTTGTTCCTCTTCCTGCTGAGCAGCTACAAGCAAACAGGGCAGCACAGAAGGCAGTGGGTGAACTGGACACTGTGCTGGAGTGGCTGGAAGCACTGGGACCCAAAACTCAAAGAAATTGAGCTGCTCTTTACAAATGTGCTAATTTAAGTTTTGTGGCATGTTGCATTTCTATGTTTTCACTTGAAAGAACTTGATACTTAGTTGGGTTTTTTATTACCGTTTTTTATCCACTAATGTGGACTGAAATTGTATGCTATATTTATACCTGAACAAAAACATGTATACTTCTGAGGAAGCTGTTACTGTAAGATTGTTTACTAGACTTAAATGTTTGTTTTTATTTTTGTAAATACTTTAATTTAAAAATCAATTAAAGCAAAATACAACTGTATTGTGCTCTCTGAGAGTTTCCTGTCAACAGCTGATGTCTGCTCTTCATTACCATCTAGTGGCCATCAGTGAAAATTCAGTGTTGCTGTTTGTCCGATAATAGATTAGGTGCCTGCTCGTGTGTCTGCTTCTGTGCTTTCTGAAATTGTCTCAAATCAGTATTCATGGTGTAGCCCACATTTTATCACAGTCTAGTATTCTGCTTCGCACAAACGCTGACAGTATCTGGGAACATGTGGACAAATTTCTTTAGTCTGTTGTCAGGACTGACATCAGTCCAAAGGCATTGTTTATGATTTTTATGATATTTGGGATTTAGTGTTAAAGGGGATCTTTTAAAGTCCAGACACGATAATGTTATGGCTGGAAGTCATGGTGATGCTTCCTCGGATATATAATCTATGTTTGAAAGAAGAGAAGAGAAGAAGAGAAAAAAGAAGAAGAGAGAATGTGTTTCACTTACTGTTATCAGATCAAATCCATTTAATCTGATGTGTCTTTTTTATGTGCAGCAGATGTACAGCTAGTAGATAACTTGATCTGGCAGGCTGCTCTGCCTTATGAGCTTCTTAATGCGCGGTTTGTTTTATGCCTGTAATACTGTATGACTGGGCCTATTTGCCCCAATAAATCACCTGAGAACAAATACGCCTGTCACTTCTGCAAAAAGAATTAATTGAGGGACATTATCTCACACACATGCTTTCACGAATAAGAGCGGATGTGTAGCAAGCCCTTTGGCTCTGTCTGAACAGACATCTGATTACTAGCTGCTTGAATATTTGCCAATACTGTGACTGTTGTGACAAATATTACAAAGGAAATTGCTTCCTCTGATCATTAATCACTGCAGCAGCAGAAGCAACAGACCTGTAACAGACTATACATGTAATCATGTCTTACACAGGAACAATAACACCTCAGAAGGTATGTTAAAAAGAAGCACAGGGGGAAAAATGAACACCTACTTACTGAAATTCTCATGTTCTGTGAATCCATAAATGGTGCTGCTTGCATTTTTTTTCATTTTGCTGATAAAGGTTCATTTGGAGTAAAAGTGAAACCTAAGTTAGGAAGTTCTAGCTAAAATGTTGTACTATCTTTCTTCGAAACTTGTGGCCAAGTTTTCCTCTTCTGGTGTCACAATCTGCTGAAAAATGAAAATGAGATAAGTACATGATGTGTAGGATCATATTGTACAGATCTTTTACTTAGACATGAATCTATGTGCTCAGTTTCAGAAAATGTTAGCCAACTGATATATAAGTGATTGGACTGTTGATACTTACAACAATGTATGAGAACATTTATTTATATCCACTGTAAAGAAACTATTCTTAAGGAGGGGAAACAGGCTGAAGTACCAAATAACACAAGAACTGGACTGAAGATTAGTGCCAACAATGCTTCTCACCAACTGATTAATCTAATTGTAAAATTTGATTTCAGCCAGCTGTGCTGGGAATCTTGTCAAAATTGATGGAATTATGAAAGCGGGAAAGTTTGATCTGGTTTTGATCCCATTTAGAAACCATCTGACTCACACTGGCTTCGATTTTCAACATGAAAGTGATACCAAACACACAATGGAACACTGTCAGGCATGGATTGGCCTCCCCACAGCTCAGACCACAATGATATTGGACAAGTGTGGGATCATCTTGATAGAGAGAACAGAATAAAAGGCAGTCAACATCCAATGAAGAGCTTTAATCCAACAATGTGGTGGTTCATCACTAACATCATATAGACACAAATATCCACAATCCTGATTAACGACTGCACAACAATCCCAGCCACTTTTCCTTATAGCAACACAAAGGACTCACTCACCTCCTCCAGTATCATTTGGCCCACAGCCCACAGCTAAAACTAAATCTAATAGAACAAAATATTAATATCACCAATAATTCACCGCATCAAACAAACCCATGACAATCTTATCAGTATTCAGAAATGATTTGGGAACATGAATTTGCTTTCTGCCCCTACTCCTCAACAGAAATCTGTAATAACCCTTTTCCACACCTAACAGTACAGATGTATTACTTACACAGTGTATGGATATTTACAGAGTTCGCAGCAACCACAAAGAGGAGTTTGCGGATGGCCAAAGAAACTCTCACCCTCTGTTCCTAGAAAGCTTTCTCGAAACAGTTTTCAGAATGTCGTTTCTCATTTGATTCATCAGCTCCCTTCTACTTCTTTCTCACTCTGTTCCTTTTTTTCTTGCTGGTTCAGACCAGGTCAAAAAAAAGTTTGACGGATATTGCAGACGGATGTATCACGATTTATGCCAGCAGTTCCGATCACTCATCCCAAACACGGTGAAGGTATTATTTGACTTAACCAAACTGATTGTGATGGGTTGCAAAGAGTCAGGATCAAATGTTCCAATCTAAAACATGTCATACTCAAACATATCTCCTAACAGGCTGCTAGTGCTTTTGCAATCACCATTCTTCACCATTTAGGGAAATGCTGGTTTCTGTTCAATTCTGTTTCCTTGGAAGTATTACAAAAGCTCTGGAAGACCCTCAGTGGTGGGCGGCGTGGGCCACTATTTCACTAGCAAGCACCCTCATTAGGGTGTGGAGGTGACTTAACACTGCGGATAACAATCAAGGCAGATACGAAAATTTGACAAACCGAGAACGAGGAAATTGATGACTTAGAAACCGCACCTTGCCGAGACAACGAAAACATAACAGAACATACACAGAACAGAGGACTGCAAACGGCTGCTGACATTCATCACACTTCAGTTTAGTACAGAGCTACAACGTTGGACTTATTCAGCTGGATATTATATCAGTATCATCTGGTTTCAGGCACTGTGCTAAAAATCGCTGATGGCAGATTCTCAGCACCTGACAGCACTCGTGTGTGACAGCATTAGAAACTGAGTTTTGAAGGGGTGAAGGGTTCAGACCAAAACTTACAACGAAACATCTGAAATATGCAGAACAGGCAGATGCAAGATAAGATTCGCTCTTTTTTTTTCAGTAAAGCAAAGTGTGAAGAGGAAAGATTTGGCACTGTTTAAGTTGTCAGTTACATTTAACAGGATGATGTGAAACATCCACTTGACAAACTTTTTTTTTTAACTCCTGGCACAGATGCATTTTGGTAGTATTATGAAATCGCATACATCTTTTAAGTCAAAGTCAGGAATTCATTTTTATGGTTACTGTGCTGTGTTAAACTTTGTGTGGTTTGCATTTTGTAACATGCTGTTTCAAAAATAAGGAACAAATTGCTAAAAACTCTAATAGACTAATATGGTCTGAAAAGAGAAGCAAGAATGGAAGTGCTTTAAACTTGCTTAAACATGAAAAATCCTCTGGTTGCAAGAAAAGTTGAACTCTGTAGAAGTCCTCAAGAAAATGACCCTACTCTTCACTTAAGTTAAATATTTTGAGCTTGTAACAGTTTGTTTTCAGTTTATATTTCATCTAAAATCGTCTTGTTCTGCATTCAGATGAACTAAAACACCGTGATTATCCTTTGCAAGTCCTCTAGGGTCCATGCAAAAATCCCTGTGACCATATAGACTTGTGTGTGACTTGTTAGACTTCAAAGAGGCGTAACAAATATGACCAAAATAACACCTCAATACATGTTTTTTGTCCCGTCTTCCTCCCCTCACTCCCAACCAGTCACAGCAGATACCTTCACAGCCAAATGGTGTAAAATGCCAAGACAGTGCAGTAAAAGCCCAACCAAACTGCATCCATCTCTTGCATATAGAACCGTACGTCTCATGACAAATTCAGTTCAGTTCAATTCATTTAGCATTTCTAACACCAGTAATATACTTTAAACACATCAACCTGAGGACTCATCAAGGTGGGGGAAGAAACTGACGGGGCTCCTGAGGAGGGATTTTCTTTTCACTCCTTCCTTTATATACAGACACAACGAAACACAACACACATTTTAATTTGTTTTGGGGGGTTTTCTAGAGTCTTTTGTTCCCACATGCTCTCCTGCTGTCTCCCCCTTCCTCTTCACCCTCTACACCACAGACTTCAGCCACTGCACAGAGACCTGCCATCTTCAGAAGTTTTCTGATGACTCTGCGGTGGTTGGATGCATCAGCAGGGATGATGAGACAGAGTATCGGGCTGTGGTCGACTCCTTTGTCACGTGGTGTGAGCAGAATCATCTGCAGCTCAACGTGGCAAAGACCAAGGAACTGATCATAGACTTCAGGAAGACCAGGAAACACTTGACCCCTGTTTCAATCCAGGGGGTCAGTGTTGACACTGTGGAGGACTACAAATACCTTGGAGTATACATTGACAATAAACTGGACTGGGCTAAAAACACCACAGCACTTTACAGAAAGGGCCAGAGTCGTCTCTATTTTTGAGGCGACTGAGGTCCTTCAACATCTGCCAGAAAATGCTCAGGATTTTCTACGAGTCTGTTGTGGCCAGTGCGATCCTCTATGATGTTGCATGCTGGGGGAGCAGGCTGAGGGTAGCAGATGCTAACAGACT